AAAAAAAAAAAAAAAAAAACAAGCACGCATTTACGCACGACCGGGAATTTAAAAACAAAAAAAAAGGAGACGAAAAAAGCACAAAGCACAGGCAGTTGAAGTCCCGCATAAGTGAGCGGCCTATACTACCGATGGGGGTCATGTGCTACTTGAAGCAAGTGTGCGGGGATTGCCAGCGTCCGTGTGGTGTTGTGTGTGGTGTGCGTCGCGTGTGGACACTACAGCCTTGCAGCCTTTGCAGGGGTGCGGCGGACATCACTTGGGCCCGTCTGGTTCCACTTTAAATTTGAACACCGTGTCCTGTCCTGGCTGTAGCGGTTATGATACTTGACTCTTATCTTCTCGAGGCCGAGGTCGCCGGTTCGAGTCTGTGCTTGCACGGAGGAGGAGGGCTGAGGCCCAGAGGTACCGATCCAATGACAATGACACGGTGTATCATTCAAACAAGGACATCTGCCTTCCCAAAAAACTAGCTCCATTAAAACAGGACACAAAAAAATTACGGTAGCAGACGAACGAGCAAGGGAGAACTACAGGTAGGTAGGTAGGTACGTAGGTGCCATTACTCGTATCGGGACTTGCTTGTCTGAATCTAGCCGTTTAACCGGCCAGATTCGCGTTTTCCGACCACTACATCTGATCACAGAGTGCCAACAAGGAAGACGTGTGGTTGGGTTGGAAGGGCGGGAAGGCGACACAGACACAGAGAGACACACACACACACACACACAGAGAGAGAGGGAGAGAGAGAGAGAGAGAGAGAGAGAGAGAGAGAGAGAGAGAGAGAGAGAGAGAGAGAGAGAGAGAGGTACCTTTGGCGATGGCAACGGGATCGGGAGCGACGGAAACAAAGATACCGACGAAGGACCCCATCATGACGAGGATGCAGGCGGCAAAGAAGGCTTCGAGTTTACGGACCCCAAGGTTTTCTAGAAACAGCAAAAAGAAGGAATCGACGGCTGTGATCAAGACTCCCGCCCAGATCGGGATCCGGTATCCAGAGAGGATACGCACAGCTATGGCGGTGCCCATGACCTCCTGTATGTCGCTCCCGATGATCGCGATCTCGGCCATGACCCAGAGCACGTAATTCACCGCCCGCGGGTACGTCTCGCCGCACAGCTCTGCCAGGTGGCGTTTTGTCACGACTCCAAGCCTCGCCGAAAGCAACTGGATAAATAACCCCATCATGGTTGCCCACAGCAGAATCCAGAGCAGCTGGTACCCCGCCTGAGATCCCGCCTGCAAGTCGCTCTCGAGATTACCGGGATCCAGATAAGCGATGCTGACTAGCAGACCCGGGCCGGTGAACGCCAACAGTTTGCGAAAGGAGAACTTCGTAGCGCCGTGGTGAGCGGGGTCAGTCCCGGTCCCATGCGGCGGCGCCGCCCCCTCCCTCCTCCTCCCCTTCCTTCCATGCCTAGCCGCCATCGTACCTGCCTCGTCTTTCTCGATATCGCCGTCGCTCTCGGACGATTCAAAGGCCACATCCAGCAGCTGCTCTTCCTCATAGGCTCGGGTGCTCGTCGAGGTGCCGGTGTCCCTCCTACTTCTCCCATATCCACTTGCACCTTCGACCCTTTCTTCCTCTTCGTCCGTGTCGCTGCCCCATTCGCGCGCCTCTGCGCTCCCACTACCCATCCTGCTCTCTCTCTCGACCGGACTTTGCACGTGGTGCGCATGATTACCAATCCCCGCCTCCCACGTGACATGCGGCGGCGCCATCGCTAACAATTACTGCTCTCGCTGGCCACTAACGAACTATCACAGTCCTTCCGAGTGTTCTTGCTCCTCCTCCCTCCTCCCTCCTCCCTCGTTCGACAAAGAGTGTGCATATATCCGAAATCGAAACCTTCTTATAGAGACAGAAGAATCAACGGTTCAGGCTGGTGACCGATGAGGGGTGACATGTCATCAAGCGGGATAGCGCAGCAGCCTGCTCGGCTGATGAAGACGATTCGAATCGATCACCACCGTCCAGTTGATCATTCATTATCATTGTCACATCGCTCCAATCTCACGGCAAAAAAGATGAATCTTGCCAAGGCCAAGGTTGCAGGTTCAAATCCTCGTGACTCCTCCTACGGGTAGTCAACAGCTGATTGATTGGATCGATCCGTTCATCGGCAAATTCCCTCAAAGCCAATTTTCATTCCCTCCACACGCGAACGGCTTTCCCCCAAATGCAATCTTCACCTCTCTGGAACTGAAAATTGCTCCCCGACTACCTCCAAACGCGCAATTTCTCAATTACTACTATTCCAGACTCGAACACCCACGACAAAAACGAACATATATATCAGTTTATTTATACAGCATTGAGCGCAATAATGCCGATCGAGATGAGGGTGTCGGCAGACACATCATGAGGGTGTCGGGATCGCTATTGGCCCAGCACACTAGCCAACCTGCTGAGGCCTGGCACCTCCGCATCAGTCCGCTTCCTGCTAATCTGCTCACCCGTGAATTGCACGAATACCGACCAATCCCGCCCACTCCGCCCCACCCCTCGCCGATCTCACCTCGCCTCCGCCCCTGCCCCCGACGACGATGATCTTCATCATGATCGTGGCAACCAGATGATCCTAATCAATGTAATCATCCTACGATGATAACCAGAAAAAAAGAGCTTTTGGTCGATGTGAGAATCACAAACTGGTCCCTCGGGACATCCGTTAAATTGGAATGATACAGAGAAGATTAGCATGGCCCCTGCGCAAGGATGACACGCATAAATCGAAAATCACAAACTGAGAATGCACAAAGAACGATGTACATATATGCTGCTAGGTTGCTGACCAACGACGGTTTCAACCACAGGTTATCAGTATTGAGGCTGATGATCATCGTATCGGCGGAGCTGATCCCGCGTGGGGGAAGGTGCTTCCTCTTCCTGCCACGTCATCAGGGAGATGAGAGAGGCGCGCACGATTTCTCCTCGCGCTCAAAGATAGCACTCCTTGGGGCTCGCTCCATTACTACTCCACAACTGTGCAAATTAAAAGCGAATCTTCCCCTAGAACCTGGCAAGATGCACCGCCATTTTTTGTGCCTTTTGTGCATGCGAAGAGTAGTGGACTGAAGCCCCTTCCGTGGCTGAATCTGCTACTAATGCTATTTCGAATTCCCCCACTCCTCCCCTGGCCCCACCCCCGCCAGATCGCCAGCCACTTGCTGCTTTTCCAAATTCCGGCACTCCTCCGCTGGCCCCGCCCCCGCCAGATCGCCAGCCACTTGCTGCTTTTCCAAATTCCGGCACTCCTCCGCTGGCCCCGCCCCCGCCAGATCGCCAGCCACTTGCTGATTTTCCAAACTCCCACACTCTGCCCCAGCCACCTGCACTACCGCACTCTTACTTCTCAACACCCGTGATTGCTACCGGTACTAGCGGTTGGGTTCGTCGCACGCCGTGGCGCGCTCGTGACTACAAGTGATTTTGCCCAATTGATAACTCGTGCAAATTATATACGTGAGTACTTTGCCCCGCCAAAAACCTTTCCGCTTGAAGCCTCCGCATGTGTCGTTTCCCGAAACGGCGAAAGCCCAACGATCGGGGTTTTTTTTTGCCCCATTTTTTATTGCAAGTTTTGTATCCGTTCTTTTTTCTTCTAATTTATTCTCTCAAATCTTTCAAATTCTTTCAATTCGTCAAAATTGGTGCAAATTAGGGCATCGCCACACCACTCTCGAGATGTGCAAAATGAGAATGAACTTCCGCTAGAACATGACCAGATGCACCCGCCACATTTTTGTCCTTTTCACATTTCGAGAGTGGTGTGGCGAGGCCCTTACTGTATTTCAATTCACCTTCAATACCTACCTAACACTACTCCTATACATGGCACCCTTGCGTTGCAAGTTTTTATTTTTCCGTTCTTTCATTGCAAGGACAATAGCAGCCCGGGGCTAGGTCCCAGTTGCACGAATTACGAGATACTGACCATAGATAGCAAAGATCAACGGCCGAAATCTCCTAATTTGCGCAAGTGGGACCTTGCCCCCGTTCACAGTGCAGGAGGACATGGATAGCCGTCCAGTTGCACTCTTGAGCAGGCTACCCCCTCACCCAAATAGAACGCAGGGCAACTATCGCCGTACATTAGGGGATAGGGCCTTTTAAATCACGGTCAGATGCATGCAAGAACGGCCGTAAATATGGGTGCGAGTACGCCCCAGATCAGGCTGCTCATTCACGTGAGCGAAAAAAAAAAAAAAAAACGAGGCGACCGACAGCCTCCTTGGTCGGCTACGTCAGTTTTTTTGGCCTTTCTTCTTTTTTTCCGGCCTGTCTAAGCCCGGGCGTACGTGCTTTTCACGGTCACGCGGGCGTCCATGCTGGCAGGTACACGTCCTCGACAGACCATATGTCTGAGTGTTTTCTCTCAGGTTTTTCCATGTTCTGATCATTCTTGGCTCGTGTTGCACACGCGCCCTGTGCGCGTGGCGTGCGTGATATCCTTACGCAGGGACCGTGCCGAACTTCGCTCCACCGTTTCGTAAGGGACGTATAGAAGACGTGGTAGCCCAGTGATTACCGTAGACCTCGGGCGTTGCAATGGGGAGTTTGCCGTTCGATTCTGTCCCTCAACCTCCCCTGGGGCGATGCACCCCACGTACTTTTCCCCCAGCCTGCCGTGTTCACCGGAATAGAACGTACGGTCATTATTGCTGTAGCTAGACTCAAAGTTGCCCGAACAGATATAACGACCGTCCGTTGTATTGGGGTGAAGACAGGGTAGTACAGCAAATATAAATCAGATGGAGCAGCTCAGTGCGGTGAGCTTGGGGGTTGCAGGGAAGAGGTCCAGGGTTCTATTCTTATCCGCCCTTGCCAGGGCCTGATAGGCCTAGCGGAGCGGGTGATTACTTCTTTTGATTTCTTTGTTTTTTCAGATTTATTTTTTTTTCCCAGAAAGGAAGAATGTTCTGCTATAGGTAGCTCTAGGCTCGGCAACCCTCGGCTTACCCGTATGTTGCATACTCCAATGAGTATGGGCAGAACCAAGAATCAACCAATGAAGGATGAGTATAGATGCAACGGAAGTCTGATAAACGGACTGACTCACATAGACTGACTCTCATAGCATCACTCCACACACATTCAATCGTGAGATGGTGCGGTCTGAGCCATACATAGAAGATGCTCAGCCCCGTACACACATACACCGATGAATGGGGGAGGAGAGACGAAGAGGTGGGGGGAGGTAGACAGCACCGAAAGTCACCGAGGTAGAATCTGATAGGTCACCGATATGGTAGTCCAAAATGTCGTC